TCGACATCTCGTGGGTATACCAATACATAAATACTCAACTCTCTAACCCCCAGCGTGAACGCAAAGAATGCCTCGCGACATTTCTATCATGGTTTGCTCCACTATCCGCCTGGAATGGAAAGCTGAGAAAGTCTGCAAAGGCAACCGGTATGTCTTTCAAGAGGTTAAAAGGTCAAGGAGGACCTAACCCTTTCTTTAACCCCCACACCATTTACTTCTTCCACCGTCCTGTTCAGATCAACGGCAAAACCAGCAAGATTCATGCTCTACCAACACTCATCCATCACAAAGACTTCCAACGAGGTTTACGACCAGATTTCAACATCAACGACATCAAACATTACGAAGAGTTCCAGACTCACGCTTTTCGACTCAATAACGCTAGGCAAAACTTTGCCATTCCGTTTACCCCAAATTGGCTTTACTATCCGATCGACTATCAAATGAGCCTCGACGAAGATCTCATGTTCTACGGTGAAAGACGACGACTTGCCTCTTACGAACCAAAACCGATGAAGCAAGAACCTCCAGAACCACAAACTCAAGAATGCCCGTCGGAATATTTTCAAGACGCGCAGCTACCTGATGACTCTATGAATATAGATGAAATCGGCAAGATGTTCGACATTGATGTTAACGACGATTCTCAGAAAAATTATGAGGAGCCAGAAGACGAATACATATGCCCAGATGATCACTACGGATGCTGCGAAAAACACATCATCGAGTTCGAGATAGACCACTAAAAGGTCATTAAGTTAAGCATAAATATGTTTAAATAAATTGTCAAAATTATGTGTGTTTTATTATGTAAAATAATTATGTACAATAATGATGTAAGCATGATGTAAGCGATGATGTAATCGCAGTGGCTGAGGTAAGCGCTTATGTCAGCGTGTACCCCCTTGTATAATATTATCAAATAATTTCCAGAAAAACCTCTCTCTTGTTTATCTCTCTACAATGTCTTTCTAAGTTCTCTCTAGTTTTCCAGAACTTAACTCATCTCTTATGAGCTTAGATTTCTATTCTCCTCTCGCAAGTTCCGATCATACCTATTGCAATTTCTTAGCTTGAACGGATTTGTCAATACGACTTTGTCAACACGACTTTCGTGGGGAGGCAATTTCCTAACAGTGGGTTGAGCAAATCGTTAGTAGCAATATCGCTCCCTTTACCTGGAAATTGCAGACCCTCGCCTGTCAACACGACTTTGTCAATACGACGTCCGCTCACGGCATTAGGTTTTATAAGGATCATATACCAAAGTGGGAGGTACTGTTTTGATCGATCGAAGTTACCAAGTAAATGCCGAAAATTGGGACTAGGATGACTAGACAAACAACACACGCTCCGAATTTAATTCTCGATTCAGAGCAAAATAATATTTTATCAATATTATATAAAATTGCATAGCCGTCAAAACAAATCATATACAACAATGTATTATCATGCACAGAATATTTGACATGTGAGTATGTGAGAGCAGAGAAATGTGAAAGTCAATAAGGAGAATGAGACAAGGAAGGTAAACGGTGGATCAAAAGATTACATTTTCATTTGAGTTGGATGCTGCCAACCAGAGACGCCGTCTGCCGGAAATGGAAGTTGAGTTCTTTTTAGTTTAATTTTTCTTTTGTTAAATATTTATATCGATAGCTCATAGATTATCAGATTTCAATCTATGAAACATTATCAGGGTTGACTATAAAATTGGTTTGAAGCAAAATAAAAAATAAAGACTAATAAAGCAGAACTTCTATAAATTAATAACATTGGAACTTAAAATTTTATTAATTTATAGAAATATTAATTTACAAAAGTTTTCTTATTTAAAATTTTTATTTATTTTATGATATAGTTATTCTAAGTTAAGAAATATATTTGATTTTAATGTATAGACATTAATTATTATTTTTGTAATTTGACATTTATATTAAATTTATTATATTATTTAATGTATATAATATATTGCACATAATTTAAATGTGGTATAGATAAAATATTATTAAATCATCAAAATATATTAAGTGTTAAAAAATTTAAAAATAATTCTATTGTGAATATAAAACAAACAATATAATGACACTACAAGAAAACATGGGAGTATCAACTAGAATTTACGACCACATATGTGTAGTCGTAAATTAACATCTACATTACGTCTACCGTATGACTACAAAGAATTTTGTCGTAATTTCAACGTAAAATTGCTACCAATGATCATAATCGTACATTAGTAGTTAAATAACGACAAATTTACGGCACCAACACCACGTAGACGTAACTTGGTCGTAATAGTACGACCAATTTACATCGATCAGTCACTTTACAAATCGAAGCTAATTGGTCGTAAAATATGACTAGATTACGACAAATGTATAGTTGTCAAAGCAAATTGGTCGTAATTGTTCAAACTAATTGGTCGTAACGTTTCCTATAAATACATACCAATCTTTTTCTCAAATCCGAAAAAGATATAAAAAGTCTTTGAAAAAAGAGAGAAAAAATATATGGGATCATAAGTAGGAGGATACCAATGTGAGACTTACGTATAAACATAGGTCTTGCTTAGAATATACCGGCTTGTGATTCCATTATCTTTCTTCTCAATTTTTCAAATATTAGAACGGCTGTCCCAAATTGGTCGTAATTGGGTTTAGTCACCCATTAGTCGTAATATTAATTCGTCATTACGACGATTTTTGTATATTACGAGGATCATGATTGTAAATTGGTCGTAATAGTACGCCTACGTTACAACTAATGTTTAGCATCTAGTTGTAAATTGGTCGTAATAGTACAACTAGGTTACAATTAGTAGTTGTAATTTGGTCGTAATCTTATGACTATTGTACATCTAATTGTGTTGCATTTGTGTACCTACTAAGTTACGAGGAAAGTAGTTGTATATTGGTAGTTGAAAAGGTAACTTCGTTGTAACATTGTTACCTACCAAAATCAAAATTTCTCTATAAATATGATATTCTCCCTCATTCTTAATATGCAGAAACAAAAAAACCAATAAAAATGTCTAGAAATATTTATGAGATTCGGAGTTGGATGTATACACATAAAGATTCAAGGGGAAGAGTAACAGACGAATTTCTCAACGGAGTATAGATATTCATGTACCAGTCCGGACATACATCTCTCACACAAGAACCATGTAAAATGTTATGTCCCTGTCGTAAATGCAACAATACGAAGTTTGCTGCTAGTGAAACGGTTTGGAAACATATAGTAAATAGAGGATTTACTCCACATTACTATATATGGTTTAACCACAGAGAAGTTGATAATATGAATGAAGCTAGTAGTATTAATCAGGTTGAAAATGTTCATAACAGAGAAGAACCACATTTGCCTTATGAAAGTTCCTTCAAGAGGATCATATGGTAGATCATCATAGGATGCATGATATGGTTACAGATGCATTTCGTGAAACAACATCAATAATAGAAGAGGTAGAAAATGTAGAGGGGTCTAACTTGGATGCAAAAGATTTTATAAAATGCTAGCAGTAGCTAATGAGCCAATTTATTAAGGGTGTAGAGAAGGTCTTTCTAAATTATCATTGACAACTAGAATTAGGAATGGCAATCGGGCTCTCCCGTCCCATCCCGTCCCGAACCGCTGCGGGTTTTTCTTTTGACGGTACATGGCGGGACCGTCCCGCGCGGGATGCGGTCCTCAAACTAGCTATCCAATCCTGTACCGCAAAATGTGTAGGCCTTCGCGGGCCGTCCCGCGGGACATCACATCAAACATGTTCAAGTGGCTTCAGCTTCTACCTACACTACACGGATTGGTATTCTGGTAGCTGCCCAATGCTTCTACCTGCACAAAAAAATAAACAACATGGAGTCATTATTTCAGCTGAATCGCCAAACATAAACATGATCAAACCACCAAACATAAACATGATCTACCATACAGTCTAGGGATGGCAATACTCTTACTCTTATATCATTTTAGCATTGTCTCTTGCTTACAAGTTACAACTTGTTGCTTTACGCTTATATCATTTTAATTGATTACTTATCAAGTTATCATCATTTGTGAGTTTGTCTGTTATATATTCAAAGGAGTGTTGTTGCTGACTTGTAGATGTCGATCAAGTGGTCTTGATCAAAATTCACAGCAAAGTCACTTTGTTGACATAAGAAAAGGCAAAGTCACTTGCATATTGTCTTAACCAAAACACCAAATGTAATAAAGCCAAAAAAACCAAATCATAGTACTGAAACAAATCCAAGAAACTTAAACATGAAATCCCAACTTGTAATAAAACAAAACACTTGTCGTAAAAAAAAATAAAACAAAACACCAAATCAAGAAAGATATCAAACTTCTTCATCATCATTTTCCTCATTGGCAATGGAGTCAAAAGATGGTAATATCTCCTCTTCAGCATCAATTTCATCTTCTGTAAATTCAATAAATTACAGTTAATTACTGTTAAAGATAATGGTACAATACAACAAAATATAAAGTGAGTAATTTACCATGTTCATAAGCCTCATATCCTTTAATCCAATTCCTAGTGCATATCACAGCTTGCACATTTTTGGGAAGTAAACGGCTCCTATATTTGTTAAGAACTCGTCACCCAATACTAAAGGAGGACTCTGAAGCCACTATTGTGATAGGAATGCTAAGAAGATCACAAGCCATTGGAGCCAAATCACCATAGCGATGAGTGTTAGTTTTCCAGAACTGGAGAATGTCCAAGCTCTCTAAACTATCAATGTCCAAAGGAGGTTCATCAAGATAAGCTTCTAGAGCTGTCTTTCCTGAAGCAGCACCTTTGACTTTGCGAAATGCAAAGAATTCCTATGAAGTTTTCAGCAAAAAAAAAAGTAAGAAATGATATTAAAAAAAAAAAAACAGAAAGTTGTAAATTTAAAAGACTCACTTGGTAGTTCCCAAATAGTCCCATTGATCCTGCAGAACTGACATTTTGTGGAACCGTCTCACGTGGCTCTATAGAAGGTGAGTTAACCTTGGATTTTTTGTCGTAAGACTCGAACAAAATACTCAGCTTCTCGCGCAATTTCTTCAACTTCACATCACGTGTACTCATGTCAAGCTTCCCTAAGCAATACTCGACAATTGAAAGCTTGAAACGTGGATAAAAAACTGCTGCCATTGCAAAAGCACAACTAATTCCTCCCAATACTTATCAAACTTCTCTTTCATCGGTGGCACCATTTTTCTAACAATCTCATCCTCACTGTACTCATTTATTTGAAGCCAGTCATGGATGGACCAAACTTGATAAAAATACAAGTTTGAGGTGGGGTAATTAGAATCTGACATCAGTTTTGTGATCTTTGCAAAAGGGCACAAAAATTGGCATATCTTCTCAGCTCGCGTCCATTCCTCAGCTGTAGGCGCCACTTTGTAACCTCTCTTATCAAAGGTTTCCAACTTAACAAATGCTTTACGGTATTGGATGGCTCTTTCCAGCATATAGTAAGTCGAGTTCCATCTTGTATGCACATCCAAGATCAGACCCGCGTTTTGAGTTATACCTGCAGCTTTCACGCATTTTTCAAACAACTCTTCCCGCGTTTCCGATGCTAGCACATACTTAATACTCTCTCTTACTTTGTGCAAAGCGTCTCCAATAACCTTCAAACCATCTTGCACTATTAAGTTAAGTATGTGAGCAGCACATCTGACATGGAAAAATTCTTCTCCACATAATAAATCATCACTTAACAACAGCTGCGATTTGACTATGTCCTGCATCGAGTCATTACTTGAAGCATTATCTAATGTGATAGAGAAAACCTTCTTCTCGAGACCCCACTCTTTCAGCGAATCAAGGAGGTTAACCGCAACACTCATACCATTATGTGTGGTGGTAGAGCACTAAATGACATGATCTTGCTGTTCAACTTCCAATTCCGATCAATGTAATGTGCTGTCACACACATGTATCCTTCACTTTTCAGTGACGTCCACAAGTCGGATGTGAAGCAGACTCGTCCAGGAAGACTCGCTGATTCCCGTTTCAGGATATCTCTCTCACTTTCATACAATCGATACACATCTGCCTTCGCCGTGTTTCGACATATGAATTTGACATCAACATTCAAATACTTCCATGTCTCCCTCACTTTTTCATACTCTACGTAAGAGTATGGTAGATCATGTTGGACTATTGCCTTAGCTACCAGCTGTCTAAACACAGTATGATCATATCTGCGAGTTACTACTTTTCCCTCTGGATTGAGTTGTTGCTGCCCTCCCCTATTCCTTGGATACATTCTACATCTTTCTCGATGCCTTCTCAGCCCACTTGTTCAATGAGAATGAGAATACCAAGCATACTCATTGTTGCAATGTTTGCATACAGCCTTCAAATCTCCACTGTTTTTTTCAACCACCTTGAAATCAGTCCACACATCTGATCTTTGCCTATTCTCCATTTCTTGCAAATCGATTTCATCGTCGCCCAACTCATCTTCTGCCAAATCATCATCAAACTCTGGTATGTCCTCTTCAATCTTGTTCTTCTTCTTCTGCGACTGATTAGAGGACCTTTTGTTTTTTCGCTCCGCACTAGACAAGCCTTGAGGCGATCGCTTTCTTCTCCCTCCCCGAATCACGGCTTTCATAGGAACATTCTTACGAGTACAAGCACGTGCCGGTGCGGAGGAGCCACTACCACGATCCAGAGTGGATTGTAACATGGGCTTCCGCGTGGCTGTTCCAAAAGTCGTTTTTCTGCGAGGCTGGCTCGACCGGGTTGGGGGTGTGATTTCAACATCAGAATCTTCTTCTGAATCGACAAGACTTATGAGCTTTCTTTTGCTTGCTTGCTTCTTTCCATCATTAACACCATCAGCTCTCAGATCACCAATCTCATCTTCTGCTGCAAGTCTGGCTATGAGTTGTTGAGTCTCCAAGTCACAGGTAGCTGGTGGCGAGTAGTTAGTATCCAAAGTGAACTGCTCTTCTGAGTCGTCTCTGGATCCCATGGTCTCTCACGTTTTGGTGATTGCTTGTTTTTTCGATAATACTAAACTAACTTACGGCTCCGTGTGTCTTGACCTAAGATACGTGACTAAGTGGAGGTAGGGTTTTTAAAATTTGTTAATATTTTTTATTAAATTTTGTAAAATAATGAAACTTAAAAATTTAAAATTTTAAACGTGCTTGAGAACAAGTAACATAAACATTCTAAAACAACAAGCATCTTACAATAGATCAAGGCATTCCTATCAATTCTTACTCGTTCTAAGAAAGATAATGAGTTCTCATATCAATACATTGTTCTAAATTTTAAGCAAGACAAAGAGTTCTTCTATCTAAACTGTGACTTCCCCTATCTGAACATCGAGTTCTCCTATCAATGCTTACTAGTTATGGGTAAGAAGCGACTAACCTGAGGTCCTTAAGCTGTTATATCAGAATGAAAACCTGGTAAGCTGAGGTGCTGAGGCCTCCTTGTTCACCATCACTCCAACGCCTCAAAACAAGACCACAAAACAAAGACAACACAAAGAGAAGACATGTCAGAGACTGAACACAAGTTATTTTAGTTTGAGAATCTAACAAATTAGTAAAGAAGATAATCGTTTTTTTTTTTACCTTAATGATTTCCACCAATTCATCTACACTAGTTCTCCATGGAACAGATGCTGTAAATTTTAAAACCAAGATGAAATTGTTAACGAAACTGTCTCAAAGAACCAAATACGCTTAAACAAAGCAGACAATGAATCAAAGGCATAACACAAACACCATATCGCTAAGCTAACATAAGTACCTTTCGGATCTTGTTGGTCTTCTTATTACGGAACAAAAAAGTTAAAACTGAAGAGGATCCCAATAAAGACAACGATCTCAGGTGCCATAAGGATTTGCCTGCAATAGATATGAACGCATATCAATCACCAAGAAGCATAAAAAATTAGCTAAATGTTAGCAGATGGAATAAGAAGATGGTATGCATCACCAAAAGTGTTTGCAGGTCTGCAAGAATCTTCTGCAAATTCTTCACTCTCATCGCAGTCATCTTCATCTTCTCTATCTGTCACTGCATCATTAAAGAGTCCAATCAAAGCTCGTTTCAATCAGTAAAGAAATGGTTTTGCTACATAAGAACCTTTCGGATCTTGTTGGTCTTCTTATCAATAAGAGAACGCTCCACTTAGAGCCAGGCCATCTCAATGGATCCAAATCACTTATTCCAACAATGGTTCCCATGTATCTAATAAATATACACATCCAAGAAGGTAAAGTGAACAACAAACCTTATTTAATTGGTAAGAAATAGACACCTTAGAGTTAGTGGAACTTTTACCTACGTTTCTCTGAATCCTCAGTTTCAAACATCATTCCAAACCTCATACCACCAACTGAGAGCTGAGATCCACATATCGCCTTACCATACTTAGCTAGAGGATCACAAACTCTGCTGGACACACTCTAACAACAAGTACCATAAATAAACACCATAAGCTCTTGTCTGCATTACAATAATGAGAAACATTACCACAAATTCGGATGCCACTCAAAGGACTAGTCAAAGTAACATTCAGGGAAGATATGTAGTCTCATACTTGAGATGATATCTCGAACTACAAGCTGTTGCGTTGGTGGTTGCGTTGTGTAGTTTGTCAAACTTTAATTGTCACAAAATTCTACTCTGAGCTTGAATCAAAAGTAATCATCTTTTATTGCATGGATCTAACAGATCGGTTTTATCCACCTGAAAAAAATACAAGAGTTAGAGAAAATATTTTAAGTCCAAATAAACTTCAAATTTTAGAACCTCATGAGAAAGAAAAGAAGACACATCGAAGAAGAAGCAGAAGAATCAGCCTTCTTGGTTTAGCTCCTCTACTGCAGATCGACAACGAAGAGGAGACCAGAAGCACCGTCAGACATCAAACGGCCATCATCGGAACTCTGTTTCTTCCCAGTTCACACGGTGGAAATCTCATTTCCATCGCCTTCGCCTTTCACTCTCTCTGTTTTTTTTTTCAGGTGGAAGGGTAAGCGGGTTCTCAAATATCCCACGGATGACTGTGGGCTTTACCGCTTAAGGCCCGGTTCCTCACAAGCTCTGTCCCAGAAGGCCAGCTATTTTGCGGGCTGTGACTTTCTCGGCCCAAACCCGCCCCGTGACAAACACTTTTGGGCCAGGCCTGCGGTCCAGTACATTGATTGCCATTCCTAAATAGAATGATGAATATCAAAACTGATCATAACTTACCTGAAGTTTGTATGGATGCATGGGCTGAGTTGTTTAAAGAGTATTTGTCTGAAGATAATTTGTGCTCTGAGTCTTATTATGAGATTCAGAAACTTGTTCATAGTCTTGGCTTACCTTCGGAGATGATTGATGTGTGTATAGACAAATGTATGATATATTGGGGAGACAATGCAGAATTGTTAGACTGTAAATTTTGCAAGAAACTACGATATAAACCGCAAGGACGTGGACGGAATAGAGTGCCGTACCAGCGGATGTGGTACTTACCTATTAAGGATAGACTGAAGAGATTATATCAATCCGAGAGGACAACAACATCAATGAGATGGCATGCGGAACATACTCAGAAGGAAGGCGAGATCAATCATCCCTTTCATGCAAAAGCGTGGAAACGCTTGAATTTGGTGTACCCTGATTTTGCAAGTAACCCTCGGAACGTTTATCTTGGGCTCTGCACAGATGGATTTAGTCCATTTGGAATGTCTGGAAGACAATACTCGCTTTGGCCAGTCTTCTTGACACCTTACAACCTTCCACCAGAGATTTGTACGGAAAAATAATTGTTTTTCATTAGTATATTGATACATGGACCAAAGCATCCGAAGAGGTCACTGGATGTTTTTCTACAGCATTTGATAAAAGAATTGAATGAATTATGGTCATCAGGCGTGCATACATATGATTGTTCAACAAAAACAAATTTTATAATGCGAGCAGTTCTTTTGTGGACCATTAGTGACTTTCCTGCATATGGATGTTGTCACTGGATGTTTTTCTACAGCATTTGATAAAAGAATTGAAGGAATTATGGTCATCAGGCGTGCAGACATATGATTGTTCAACAAAAACAAATTTTATAATGTGAGCAGTTCTTTTGTGGACCATTAGTGACTTTCCTGCATATGGGATGTTGTCAGTTTGGATGACGCATGGGAGGCTATCTTTTCCTTATTGTATGGGAAACACATACGCATTTCAGCTGAAGCATGGTAGGAAGACGTTCTGGTTTGATTGTCATCGAAGATTTCTTCCCATTAACCATCCGTACCAAATGAATAAGAAATTGTTCCGGTGAAAAAGGGTTGTACGGGACACTGCTCCACCATATTTATCTGGAGAAAAAATTGAAAATGATATTTATTACTATGAAGGACTAGACATAGTCACCAGAGGGGGTAATTGGCATACTCTTGCAAATATATCTGATGGTTATGGGACACAACATAATTGGCACAAAAAGAGTATATTTGGGAACTTCCATATTGGAAAGATCTACTTCTGCGCCACAATCTTGATGTGATGTATATAGAGAAGAATTTATTTGAGAACATCATCAATACTTTGTTGAACATCCCTGGGAAGACAAAAGATAACAAGAACTCAAGGTTTGATTTGCCTGCATTATGTTCTAGGATTGAGCTGCATATTAAAAATGATGGGAAAATTTTGGTTCTCATTTTCAGATTGTCAGCAGCAGCAAAAGCGGCATTGTTCAAGTGGGTGGCATCAGACGTGAAGTTTTCAGATGGATATGTTTCAAATCTATCAAAATGTGTTTATCAATAGGGACAAAAGTTTTCAGGGATGAAGAGTCATGATTGTCATGTATATATGTAACGACTTCTACGTTTTGCATTTGCGAAATTGCTTCCAAAAAATGTTCACGAAGCACATGCAGGTAATAATTAAATAATTAATCAAAATTATTATTACTTTTTGTTGGAAAAAAAACTTAAAAAAAAATTCTTACGTTGGCTTGTACATTATCATGATAGATTCTTACTTATATAAAATATGTATACATATAAATTATTAATTTATAGTTTTAATGCAACCATATATTTACATATAATTTGCTAAAAAATATTACTTTATTGTTTTATTTCAAAATTTGAACCAATCCAAATTAAACCAATAAAATTTACTAGTTGTGTGAACAAGAGAAGTTATAATAATTAATTCAAATTATCAATCCTTCACACTCCACTTTTTATTTTGATTGATATTCATCAGAATTATTGCATCATCTATGTAAAGTTTTATTTTATCTTTGGGTGTGTATTTTATATATTTTTATTAAAAAATATATATATATTAAATTATTTTAGGATTTTAGTGTTCAAAGTTATTGAGAAATTTTTTTTTTTCAAAAAGTAAAAATAATTTTTTTGTTGATTAATATTTTAATATTTTTTATTATTTTAAATAAATTATGATTTAATAATATTTTTTGATCAAAATTTTAGTAATATTTAGTACTATATTATTAAATACAAATATATTAAAAACTACTATGTATTAGGGGCAACATTATTTTAGTACGCGTCAAATATCAAATGAATCCAGACTAGTACAGACCAAAACAAACTTAATTTTATTTTTTTAAGAAAAAAAAGAAAACAAACTTAATTTTGGTAGATCAAGAGAGATTACAGAAAATTTCCAATTAGTGATGCAACATTCTGCTAAGATTTTTTTGGAAAACCATATAAACACATGATGGACAAGCTCCAGAGAGAAAGTTGAAAAAAAAAGCTCTGGAGAGAATAGGTAAATCCCCAGATAAGGAAAGTAAATAGACAATTGTGGAGATACAAAATATTGCTTACAACACAAACTGTCATAGAAATATTGTTCTTCACGTGCTATATAAAGGCTGTACACCGATTAAAAATTCTTTATGTCAAAAAAAAAATCTAATGCACGTGTGTATTTTTAATTGGTACACTAAAGAACTGTCCAGCCGTAGTTGAATAT